GGTACAGAAATATCTGCATTGCCCCATTTCTATAAATTCAAACTTCGGATACTTTAAACAAACTAGACTGAAACTTTGGGGAGACATGGCAGAGCAGCATGCAGGTGAGATTTCTCTTTCCTTTCCATTGTCTCAGGTTACATTGAGGAAGCCTGCATTATTCCATGCCCCTCAGACTGCAAGCTCAGTGAATGGTCCAACTGGTCTCGCTGTAGTAAATCCTGTGGTAGCGGAGTAAAGGTTAGGTCTAAATGGCTCCGTGAAAAGCCCTACAATGGTGGAAGACCCTGCCCGAAGCTGGATCATGTCAATCAGGTAAATTGAGTTACTTTTCTTTAGTGATATATTCCTTTTTTCTGTCCACAAGTTGTATTACCTATATAGAAAGTCAGTGAATAATTCTTCCTTTCTGAGTCTTTTACATGCTTTTTGAATTGAGTAATAAGTACGGGCACTGGTGGAAGGCAAAAAGTCTTTATATGCAAAATTAGAACAAGGGCTTTACTCTGTGTGGATTTTTTTAGGCAAAAAGTCTTTATATGCAAAATTAGAACACGGGCTTTACTCTGTGTGGATTTTTTTTTAAATCTATTCAATATGCTTCTATCAAAGGCAAAATTTACAAGCCTCAATTCTGCAAGGCCTTGAATGCCATCAGCTGCAGATCGTCATGGCTCTGCAAAATCATCTCTTCAGCAACATGTTTAAGAACAAGAGATAACGCTCTCAGTATACAGAGAGGGAAGTTGAATTACTAAGTCCAGGAAATTCATCTCCTTAATTCTCTGTCATACATAATAGATAAAGTACATGCAAAGTAAGCAGCCTATGAAGAATACCAATTTATCATGATCAGTCTTTTCCTCCTCCATCTGATTACATCATCATGAGAGCTATGCACCAAAGCAAATATTTGTAGTGTTATTATCTAAAAATTAAAAAAATACTGCTGCTTCTTCATTAACAAAGAAATTGCTCACCATTTTAAAAATATCATGGAACCCAAACATCTGATTAGACATATAAGTGGTGTAGTTCTGAGCCTGAAAAACAAAACACTCCCCACCACCACCACCACCACCACCACCCCAAATCCCTTTGGAGGGCCTTGTGAAATTCCTCTGGACCTGCCTGCCTTTCTTATAGTTCTCCATGCAATCAGTGAAATTGTTGTGTAGACACAGCCTCCTTTCCACTGTCTCCCCCTATCAGTAGCACACAAAAAAACCAAATATAAGGAACATTTAAAATATCCATAATATGACCACATGAGGTTTGGCCTTCCAGGAGCACTTGTTTGTTAAAAAAGGGATAGATTGAAACTGAAACTTGAATGTGTAAGTGCCTGGGTGTTGGAATCCTTCCCGGGACAGCAGTCAGATTAATGGATCATGGGAGTGCCTCACTAATCTCTCGTGAACTATAGTTGTCTGTATTTAGGGTGCCAGATGGTTTCAACAAAAATACCGGACACACTTGACATTACATCACAATCTACATTACATCTGATTTAGAAAATATCAGACAGTTCTATTTTCTCATTGATATTTTCTCAATTTGTTTCCTGAACAGAAAGCTCAAATACTGGTCTGTCCGGTTCAAAACTGGACACCTGGCAACCCTAACAGTATTCAAAACTCAGACACCAAGCAGGATGCTCTCAGCAGAATCTTTTTAAAATAAAAAATGATCCGCTACTAGCAAAGATGTTTAGTTGGCAATTTGTGTAGGAAAAAGCTGTTTCCGGTTCCTTGTCTCTCTCTACATTGATATATTAACCTCACATTTGGATTTCATTTGCATTTGAGGATAGCATTGTTAAATGGTCCCATATTCATCTCAATAAACATCTTCAGGGAGAGGGGAAAATCTGGCTGTTCATATTTGAATAAGGTACATGTTTTTAACATCACCCTATTAACATTTTGTCAATACTGAATGAAATGGTGTGCTGACTGATGTTTCAGCTTAAGGGTATATAATCATTCCTAATTTAGAAAATAAGTTATGTCTAGAATCCACTTTAACACAAAATGCAAGTTATAATGAAGGCTGTGTTGGTTTTGAGGAACATGTTAAAAATTACAGACAATACATTATAATAGGAGCAAATTATAGTCTATGAAAACATCTCTTCCTGGTTGTACATTAATTCAGCACAATATTTTATAATAGGCTCTTATACTTCAGGATGTCAGAGGTAATATTTCTATATTGCTGGGTTTGTTTATATATATATATATATTTGCATATAGCACTGCTGCCCTCTACTGTTGTGTGGTCTAGAACCTTTTTTTGCTGCAGCTTTGTAGCTGACAAAATAATCCCATATTACTAAAATAAAAATAATATTGCAATCTGATATTGCATGTGGAAGTGACTGTGCCATCCATAAAGCTAAGATTTTGTATCTCTTAATATTAAATACACTTCACTGTAAATCCTTAAGTGTGGAAATCCCACAAACTCAGCCTGTGCCAATGACAAAACAGCTGCCTGGGACTATTTAATTAATCCACATCTGATCCACAGCTCAAAGAAAATCAGCAGGGCAAACTAGCACATTGTCATGCCAACACTTCAGAAGGAAAGGTACTGCCACTTGTAAATAATAATATTTAATATAAAATATACAGATTAAATTTTGCTGTTGTTACCTATCAGTGTGCTGGAGAGATGTTGCGAGGACTATGCTACCATTGGGGATGATTCAGCAAATGTTTCCACTATGGGGAGAAAGCAACATGCTCAGTTTTTCGTGCCACATTCCAATCCTCTATGCCTACTCTTCAAAGTAGCTGCCACACACAGGGTTAGGAGGAGAGAGAATTCCACACCCATGTTGCATGGAGGGGGAAAAGGCATCTTATACTCTTCTCTCAGGCATGTTCAAGTAAGAACTGACAACAGTCTTGCCTTTAATCTAAACCTGTTTTCATTCGTAAGTGATACTATTTTCTAATGATTTGCAAATATATCCATACATGCCAGCTGTCCCACTGAAAGGGAGACCAATCAAACCATCAATTGTTTTTCTGCTCTCTCCATCCTAAAACATCTCATCTGAGGCTAAAAGGTGTTTCCTAATTTCTTTTTCCTGGAATATTCTTATTTACAGTTTTCTCTTATTGGCAGAAGTGTATGCGCAGCATATTCAGTCATGATGTGACATACGGATAAACAAATATCTTAAATTCTCTGTGGAGCAGGAAATTGTTGAAATTAACTTTGAAAATGTGTTATCTTTTCCCTATACATCTGTAGTTAAAAATTATCTGCATTGCTATAGTGCAGGTTTGCAGGTGATGTTTCTCTGACTGTCAGAGAGATTCAGCTGCAGAGACAGATCTGAGTTTCCTGGGGAAAATAACATCTCCCTTTTCATTGGCTTCAGGGATTCTTTGCCTCCACATCTACCAAGAGGCATGAAGTCCATGACAATGTCTAACTCTAATTGCTTGCTATCAGAGATAGTCACATAAATGCCAATAATGTAGAGAGAACTCCAGTAACAACTGGGCCTCAGGCATGAGCTCTGTCTTGGATGACTGACGGTTACATTTCTGCCAATAGCTAGAGAGCGCCATATTGAGATTTTCCTCCAAATTTCCTGGAAATGTTGGATCTACCTAACTGATAGCAGATATACAAGACAGCTAGAGATTAGCTTTCAGTGGTAATTGGCTTAAAATATTGGACACAAACTTAAGACAGGCCAAAAAGATATTTAAAACTTGAGAAGGATGAGATCTTTGTCTCATTCACTACTTTTACAGCCATCCCACAGAATCCACAGTACAATATTATTAATAAATAAAACACAGTCTTCCATCCAAAATTACTCAGGAAGCTCTTCAGTCTTGGAGAGATTAAAATCCTATGCCTGTAAAAAATTGATACCCATGGTAGGCAGAGAATAAAATAGTTTAATAATGTGTTTATGAACAGCATGAGGAAGAGGTGAGCATATTTGCACTAGTTCTCCACCAAGGTAATGTCTGAAAGATTTATGTTCTTTAAATGCTGACTTCTTGCAGAACATGTTAGGAGAGATGCAAGAGGGAAAGCTGAGTCTTATCTGACTTAAGTGGTGAGGCCTTCTGCTTGGTAGAGCCCATAAAAGATTGTTTTTAACCAATGAAGCACTCATTCAAATACCTGCGTTTTGCTCACTAACTAATGTTTCTATTTATTTTTGGTTGTTCCCCTGATTCGTGGCAAATACCTACTCCAGGCTCAGGTAAGAATCTCTAAAATAAGTATCTAACATTATAATGTGCTTCCTGATCAAGCTCTATAATATATGGGCTATTTGGCCTTTTCTGTAATTGTTCTTTACAAAGATGCATGTGATGTTTATAGGATACCATTTTTAATGTACTTCAGATACATTCTCTCTATATAAAATACAATCTTAGCACAATATAATAACTTTAGGCTTCATAGTTAAAAATAGTTGGCATTAAGGGGCCGGATTATGCTCTAATTTATATTGGTGTAATGTAGGGAGTGATAACGTTGGAATCAGCCTTTCTCAAACACACCAAATGTCCACAACTAATGCTATTGTGTACAGTGTGGCCTATAAAAGGAAAGATTGAGGAGCAAGTTAGCAAAGGGAGTAGCAGAAGGCTGGTTTTCCCTAGCAGAGCAAAGTAAAGGAGACTGTGTGTTTTCTCTGGTGTATATTAGCAAAGGTAATGGTAAGGTGCAGAAGACAATTTGTGCTATTAGTTACTTAACTTTTAATTTCTTTGTTTTTGCGTCAGTTTTTTAATGTCTGTTGTAATCGCAACTATTTCACAACCTAGTTGTACCTCAAGTAAGATGAAATCTATCTTTTCAATATAATAATATTTGTATCTTTGCTATGTCACAATAACAGTTTCTGCATACTTATATCTGCATACTGTGTGCAGCAAACTCACACTCTGTTTGGATTCCAGGTATATGAGGTGGTACCATGCCACAGTGACTGCAACCAGTATATATGGATTACAGAGCCCTGGAGTGTCTGCAAAGTGACCAATGTTGACTTAAAGGAGAACTGTGGAGAAGGTGTGCAAACCAGGAAAGTGAGGTAAATAGAATGTAATTCTTCTCTTGAAAAAAAAACCTCACCTTTAAATTATTATGACATTAAGGAAGCAAAATTCTATAGAGGACTATTTTGACAAAGCATTTTTGCACCAGGTGTTGAGTTAGTGGAAATCTTTGTAGATTGAAATCAATGGAGCTACACTCGTTTACATCCTTTGGGTTTTTTAAATAGAACTGTAACTTACATTTATATAGTGCCTTTCAAAGGCTAGATAACTCCAAAATGCTTTATACATTTCACAGAGATCCTTTCTCACTGATCAGTGAAATGCAACCATTTTTGTGGTGAAACATAGTAACCCATTTAGCAGCACACAAAATACTCCACAACAGTTAGGGGCAAAAGGTGAAGGATGCTATATCCAATTGAAAACACAGTGGATCAAGGTACTCAGAATGTAATAATCCCAACTGGAATTTGGCCAGGGATTGTGGTTAATAACCCTGTTGCTGAAAAGTGCCAAGAGAACTTTACCACAGGTGATCAGTGTCTCAGACTTGCATCTAAGTCCAAAGATAGATTAATGTACTGTATGGAGTCTTATGTTATCAGCAACTGTGCTGCTCCTATTTCTGAGTTTTATGCTTAAATTATAAAGAACAGTAGAAATAGCTTTTTTTCCCATAGTTCTTATTGATGTGATAAGGAATAGCTATGGAAGTCCTTAACAATATTTTAAATGTGGAATATATATGGCCTAGAAAGTTCTAAATATAAAAGTAACGGGTGAAAGTCTCTGTTCCACATTAAATTGGCACATCATCAGAGCAGAGAATATGGACCTATATCTGGTGCTGGTTTTCACCATCTTTTTGTTACCCTATTAGTCCATTGGGTCTACTAAATGAACCTATGTTAACAGTGGATTTGAAGTGCCCAATGTTCTAGCATGGTTGAAATATTGCTGACAGATTACAGTAGAACAACTCCTGACAACAAATTCACAGACATCGGCTGGGTCTGGAAAGTAATCATCTCTGGAGAGAGAACAGTTCTGCTCAGAAGCTATTACATAATTACCATAATTACATTATTATAGTACTAAATAGTTTGTTTCACTATAAAGTCACATGGAGTACAATATATATTTGTTTTAATTATTTAGTTATTGTGAAAGGTACCAGATTTACAGTAGAGACTGAAAAATTCATAGAGCAAATTCATATTGTGCCTTTTTCCCATTAATTTATGAGAACACTGATCCAGAGCAACAATTGCTGAAGATAAAGGGGTATAGAGGGGTAGCCGAGTTAGTCTGGAACAGGAAAAACTTAAAAAACAACTAATAGTCTAGTAGCACCTTAAAGACTAACAAAACATGTAGATGGTATCATGAGCTTTCGTGGGCAAAACTCACTTCTTCAGATGACTGGAGTAGTAAAAGTCCACATCCAAGAATAAATAAAGGAAGGGGGGAGGAGAAAAAGAGAGAAAAGGAGGGGAGAAAAAAAAGGAGAGTCATTGAGCAGATGGTTCAAATAGTTACAAGAAGCTGATAAGAACAATTAGCACCTCCATTATTTGGTTGGTTGTTAAGTCATTAGGATGTGGGAGGTAGTGTGGGAGCCGCCAGTCGATGTCCCTGTTCATACTATTTGCATAAGAATTAAACTTGTGAATGAAGTTAAATTCCAACCCTTCTCTGTGTATTTGGCTTGTGGAACTGGCCTGAAACAAAATAGTGACTTGGAGATCCATTAATGAGGGTCTAGGCAGATTAAAGTGTTCTCCAACAGGTTTTTGTGAATTGCCTTTTTGGATATCTGATTTGTGTCCATTAATTCTTTCCCTTCGAGTCTGTCCAGTTTGGCCAATATACATGGCAGTGGGGGCATTGCTGGCATTTGATGGCATAGATCACATTAGTGGATGTGCAGTTAAATGAATCTCTGATTTGGTGGCTCATGTGGTTGGGTCCAGTGATGAAATTGCTTGTGTAAATGTGTGGGCAGAGTTGGCACCGGGGTTGATTGCAGGGGTGGGTTCCTGGATGATAATGATAATGGAGGTGTGTTGATAAGGGATGATAATGGAAGTGTGTTGCGTGGTTACTGGAAAGAATTTGATAGAGGTTAGGGGGCTGTCTGTAGGTGAGAATTGGCCTTTCCACCAATGCCTGTGAGAGTGAGGGATCATTTTCCAGAATAGGTTGTAGATAGTGGATAATGCGTTGGAGGGGTTTAAGTTGTAGACTGTAGGTGATGACAAGTGGAATTCTGTTGTTTTCTCTTTTTGGCCTGTCTTTGAAGTAGTTCAAGTCTGGGTACTATTTTGGCTCTGTCAATGTGTTTTTTCACTTCTCCAGGTGGGTATTTCAGTTTTAAGAATGCTTTATATAGATACAGTAGGTGTTTGTCTCTGTGGGATTGGAGCAAATCCAGTTGTATTTTAGGGCTTGGCTGTATACAATAGATTGAGAAATGTGTCTGGGATGGAAACTAGAGGCATGAAGGTAAGTGTAGCGGTAGGTAGGTTTCCAGTATAGGGTGGTGGAAATTTGTCCATCATTTAGTTGTACTGTACTGTCAAGGAAGTGGATCTCTCATGTGGACTGATCTAGGCTGAGGTTCATGGTGGGGTGGAAGTTGTTGAACTTCCTGTGAAATTCTTCAAGGGTCTCTTTCCCGTGGGTCCATATGATGAAGATGTCATCAGTGTAGCATAAGTAGAGTAAAGGTTTTAGGGGGCGAGACCTGAGGAAATCTTGTTCGAGGTCAGCCATAAAGACGTTGGCATATTGTGATGCCATGCAGGTGCCCGTGGCTGTGCCGCTGACTTGAAGATAGAAATTGTCTCCGAAATGGAAGTAGTTGTGGGTGAGGACTGAGCTGCCTGGAATAGTTAAACTGAAAGCCAAGTAGTGCATTGCAATTGCATGTTAGACTCTGCTGGTTCAGAATGCTGTCTTTTTCCCTTTCATTAAAAAAGTAGGTACATTTTAATTTCACCCAGTCTGTAAATGTAAAACTGTGTAAAGAATGAATTTAGTAAAACAAAAACGTCCAGAAATCTCCCACAAAAGAAAGGAATTTCATCCCTTTTGGGATGAATACAAGAAAAGCTACCTTCCTTTTTGCCATCAACATATTAACTGTCATTGGAAAGCTAATTCTGGCAAATAGATTTTTGCAGATACAGTATCTCTATTGGGTGTGTTCATTTAAAATATTTTCAGACTGACAGCATGAGATCATCAGGCATACAGGAATTAGTAAAGTAATAGAATTGCAGTTTGAAAATATTGCAATGAAAGTGAAGGTTTAACAGTTGTGTAGAAACAACTGTGTTATGAATCTGCTCCAAGCAATTTTCATTAATCCTTGTCATGCCCCTTATTCTGGCAGTAGGTATGAGGGCTGGAAAGAGGAACCCTGTTTAGGCTGAAAATTCTTTGGAACAAGGGTTGTCCTCCATATTGGCTGGACAGTATTGAGCATAAATGAGCCCAGGTCTATTTGGGGCCTCTGAATACTAATGTGAGCAAAGCAAAAAGCTTTGAGGATATCAGTAGTGTAGATGGCAGTGTGTATCTGAATAAATCTATTCCAAACTGCAAAGTTTTATAAATATTAACAGAATAATCCTCATAACTAACTCTAAGAGGTAAGAAAGAGTTGTGCATTTTCAATGTACTGATGGGTAAAACAGTACAGAGAATTTGTGCACATTCTCTCCACAAGACAGGATTAGAACATGGTGCTTTTCACGTGTCGATCTGAGCTTCAACCAATACACTGCACTTCTATCTCCAACAGATAAAAACTGGGGATATATTGACTTTTTCAAATTCTTTTGGGCTTTTTAATAGTTCATTATTTATTGGGATTGCATCACAGATGTCCAGATTTTGCTATTAGTATATTGCCCGTGGTTAAACTACTAAAATGCCACATCATTTTAATGTAATGGATGCATTTATATAGAAAATCCATGGAAAATATGTTTTATGTATAGCCTTATATTTTTTTAGATGCATGCAAAACACAGTGGATGGTCCTTCTGACACTGTTGAAGACTACCTGTGTGACCCTGAAGAGATGCCTCTTGGTGCTAGGAGATGCATATTACCATGCCCTGAAGACTGTGTTATGTCTGAATGGGGCCAATGGTCTAGATGTTTTTTGGTAAGAAACGTGAATAATTTGACACTTGGGGTTTTGAGGCTATTTTATTTAAAGAAAGTAAGGGTATGTCTACACTACAACGTTAGTTCGAACTAATGGATGTTAGTTCGAACTAACTTTCATAGGCGCTACACTAGCGCTCCGTTAGTTTGAATTTAATTTGAACTAACGGAGCGCTTAGTTCGAACTAGGAAAACCTCATTTTACGAGGATTAAGCCTAGTTCGAACTTACTAGTTCGAATTAAGGGGTGTGTAGACCCTTAATTCGAACTAGTGGGAGGCTAGCCCTCCCCAGGTTTCCCTGGTGGCCACTCTGGCCAACACCAGGGAAACTCTTCTGCCCCCCTCCCGTCCCCAGACCCCTTACAGGGGCACGGGCTAGCTACGGTGCCCGTGCCAGGTGCAAGCCTGCCAGCACCCAGCCAGCAGACCCTGCCCCTGGCAC